GTGTGTGTGTGTGTGTGTGTGTGTGTGTGTGTGTGTGTGTGTGTGTGTGTGTGTGTGTGTGCGTGTGTGTGTGTGTGCGTGTGTGTGTGGGTGTGTACTTGGTGCAGAAAAGTGACGGTGGAGGCATTGCGCGTACCTCGATGCGGTGGCGGCCGTAGTCGTGATAGGCCTTCGTTCGGTTGGACCAATGAAGTGAATTCAGCTGGGCATTGTCGCGGAGCTGTTGTGCGAGGGCCTGCACATTGCGCCAGCACACAAAGGAGCCACAGTTGAGCGACAACAGGAGGTAAGTACTGCAACACGCTCCAATCGGGTCCACTTGGCCTTCCACAAACACACTCACACACACGCACACACACACATACGCACACCCCTTTTCACGTACATGAAGTACACACATGCATCTACACATTCACCTTCACACCTATACACATGTACACGCACCTCAAAGTCGTGGGCTGGCTCGCCAATGCGCTGTGCGATGCGGGCGAGGACGGCTGCGGCCTCGGCCATCCAGCAGCGCAGATCAAGATGCCGCTCGTTCTCATCGGGATGCGACGCCCTGACCAGTCAGAGCGCATGATTGTAAGGGTGTGCAATAGTGGGCAATGGAGCAAAAGCGAGTGGCGGTCAGTAATGCAAAGTGGTGGCGGGTGGTGAGCGGTCAGCCGTATGGCAGGCACCACCCACATGTGAGCACAAGCAAGCATGCTGGTGCTGCTGCAGCAACTGCTGCTGCAGTAAGCAGTAGAGTTGTTGGGCTGTGCAAGCACGTACAAACACGCCGACGAGTGCTTTAACAAAAATAATGACTTGTCGTCCATCTTCACCTTGGGTAGTCGTCGAGGCCAGAGGTGAGGGTGAGCGGGTTCATCATGCCTGGTTTGCGCTGTCGCCCGCGCCAGCGGTACGTGCCTGGCAGGGCGCCGCGCTGGGTGTCGAACCACTTGAACCACGCGGCAAACCGCGGGTAGGCGCCGCGGATGAACTCAAGGTCGCGCGCAACGCTTGCGTCGGTGTCGTCGTGGGCCTCATCGATGCGGTCCAGTATGTCCTCCATGACCAGAAACCACGTTGGCGGGTTGGCGTTGTCCGAGGGCTGCACCACAAACTCGTCCGGCACCTTTGAGCGGGCCTCACGGCCCAGGATCTGCTCGCGTGGGATCCAGCCGTAGACGTTCATGAGATCGAGCCAGTGGGCCAGCACGTCGCGGGTGATGCCCGGGTCCCACCGGTTAATGAGCAGCTGGTGGAAGCCCTCGTCCCACATGAACCCGCGCGGGAAGAAGGAGCGGGAGGGCACGCCGCTGTAGAGCGGGGCGTCAAAGTACTTGTACAGCGCCGGCTGCAAGGGTCGTGCGGGCTTCCCTGACTGCCGCTGCTTCGCCGCCGCCTCCTCAGCACGGCGCTTATCCTCCTCCACGTCGCGCACGATGGATGCGCCGTACCAGTACCCGACGCTGCCCAGCATGTTGCTGAGGGCAGCCTTGGCAAAGCTAATCTGCTCCTCGGAAAACCCCTTCTGCTTCAGGGCAAACAGGCGGTCAAACTTGGCGTCAAACGCCACCTCCCGCTCAGCGAGCAACGTGTCGTATCCGCTGCCGTGCAGGGTGCCGTGGCGGTGCGTCAGGTCATACGCGCCGTCGCCGGGAGACAGCGACTCGTACACCACCGTGAGCTCAAAGGGCGGCTGCGCGCGAACCTGCACCAGGTAGGCCTGTGCGTTATCAAACACGCGGTTCCACTTGAACTCTGGGGAGAGGAGCACGGTGGTCAAGTTCTGGGTGAGCTTCTCGATGCCGTCCACAGGGAGGCCCGTGTATGTGTATGTGTCGTCCTCGGTGACGTTGGTGAAGAAGCGGGCGCGGAAGTTGCCCAGGTTGGCGTTGGTGCCTGTGAGCACGCGGCCGTCCTCCTCAAACTCAAACCGTTCCGGGCCCTCGTTGTAGAAGTAGAAGAAGATGGGGATGTGGTTTGTGCGGGTGCTGGCCGGGGTCCCGTCCTTCCAGCTCACGGTGATGCGGGTGGCCCAGTCGCCGCCGTAGTCGCCGAGGTCGCCTGCGAACACGTTCTTCACAAACGACGTCTTCAGCACCACCTGGCCGTCCTCGATCTGCTGCATCCCAAAGGTTTGGCCGTCGTGTTTTGTCCATGTGTACCGCAGCCCATCGCCTGTTGCACACACATTAAAAGTGTGAGCGTGGCATGCGTACATGCAGGTGTGTGTGCGTGTGTGTGTGTGCATGTGTGTGTGTGCATGAGTGTGTGCGCATGTGTGTGTGTGTGCGTATGTGTATGTGTGTGTGCGTATGTGTATGTGTGTGTGCGTATGTGCTGTCTTGGGAGGAGCACGGGAGAGACACATACACAGACAGAGGGACCGGAGGGAACGGAAGCGCGGAGACATCTGGACACACACAGGAGACATCTCTGGACACACACACGCACGCACACGCACACACGCACACGCACACACACGCACGCACACACACGCGCGCGC